GCAGAATGACCCCGCAGTTTATCTTATTCAGAGCAATTTTAGTCTCCTCGTCAACAGTTCAAACACATTGGTAACACTGTTAGTCTGTTAAACATGCACACCATACATGTAATGCTTACAGTATAGACAATAGCCATGGCAGGGATGAATTTTCTGTCACGGTTTTGCATAGCAGTTTTTGCTATGCAAAATTTAATTTGTGGCGTAAGCTACAAAAAGCATCGATAGCCTGTACATGTATGTATCGCAGTTTTCTGCGTGCCACTGTGATTTTTGAGTAGCAGTAGATCGATTTTGCGTAGCAAACTGCGATGCGATACAGGATAAATTCATCCCTGCATGGCTAGTGATAACAGTTAACACTACATGTTCACAGGGGCGTCGGACATGGTGCGGTCACTACGGTATCGACCGTACCACTTTTTGCTCCAGGTACCCTGCGAATCAATAAAATACACCGTCATCTGGGCTCTAAATTTCCAAAAAATGTCGGCTCTTCAACTCCTCCCCCATGAGTAAATTGTACTTCACATGGCTGACCGTACAACGCTAAAATACCTTCCGACGCCCCTGGTTCGCCTCCACATGCTTGCTGGCCGATCGGTTGTCCTCTTCTTCCCTTTAGTCTCTTTTCTTTCCCGCCGTGGTTGGCTATCACCCCTCTCTCACACTATGCGTGCCAATTGGCCACGCACCACGAGTTGAGTGAAGGAAAATACATGTGTAAATTAGTAGTGTAAATGCCATTGCGGGAAAATAATTATTGAAAACAAGCATGCGTTCATGCAGTACAGTTGGTTTCTATGGCTACACAGAATATAATATGGCTGCACAGAATCGTCCACTGACCTGAGTGGCGGTCTCGATCATCTGGCACACGCACTGCGCGGCGCTGCTCATATCATCTCCAAAGCCATTCATGTTGTTGGCCTTCAGCTGACTGCCAATGTTCTTGCTCATCAGCTCGCCACATTTCTGCAAACAAGAAAATGTCAAGAAAGAGGGGAGGGATATTGCGACATACTGATATGTAAAAAAAAGGAAAGGGGGAAAAAAGGACAAAAAGTGTGCTGTGACCAGGATTCGAACCTGGGTTACTACGGCCACAACGTAGGGTCCTAACCACTAGACGATCACAGCTTGCTACAGAAGCACACATTCGTGGACAGGAATAGTTCTGACTTTGACCGCACCCGGAATACCTTCAAATAGGGAACACATGTACATGTACTGTGATTGAAACTCACCGTGGCCGTATCCCTGACGGTCTCCTGGCAGGCAAAGAATGTCTTGGCGTTGACCGGCTCGTTGATGTTATCGAGCATGTTGGCACTGGCCTGGATGGTGCGCAAGGCATTGTCACACTCGCGCTGCCCAGGCGTGTTGGACGAGCACAGGCCGAGCAACGAGTTGATCGACTCCGTGACATTGCTGCACACAACATTACACACGTGGACACACACACATGTACATACGTACGCAAGCACACATGCACACACACGCACATGTGCACACATGCAAGAGGAACAATGCCTTACAGACCTGCAAAGTTCCACAACCACAACAATGAATCCTGCTACAGAGCTCTTTCGAGATACTAAACCGGGGCCAGGAAACTTCTGCATTTATCACCCTGGGGAAATCCCCTTCACCCGCATATGCCTCTGTAGCAAACCATAACTGACTCAGGGTGCACCAGTGCACTATGAAACACACGTCAAGATCCCAGCACACAAACACAACTTTCCCAGGTGGTGGTGCCACACCGGCTACCAAGGCATCACGCACAAGCACGCACGCGCACCCCCCCCCCCCCCCCACACACACACACACGCACGCCCCCCCCCCCCCCCACACACACACACACTCATGGCAATGGCAACTAACCGGGCAGCCGACGCCAGATTGTTCTTGACGTTGGGCGCGTTGGGATCGGCCGCGAGCGCCTTTCCAGCCAGCAGCAGTTTGCTGGCGGCGACGGAGACATTACGTGTGTAGCCGACCACCTGAGACTGGTCTCCCTTATCCTGTGAGCAGTCATCCCCCCGGTAGAGAAACAAACAACAATAGAAACCTTCAAAACATGATTGACACTAAAAGGAAATGCTAAAAGTGTTACACGCTGCAGCATTCACACCGGGCAGCTAGCAGGTTTGGGACCACACAGTCACTTGGATCATTTACTCTCTTGTCAGTCTACAGTACATATCCACAACTGCCAACATAAACGTACTTGTACTATATGTAGTGATGCTTTAGGCATTCACCATATTTAGCATGCAAGATTACCTTTTTGGGTTACCTACACTATAACTAGCAGGACCAGCGGAAGCAGTTTTGGATTGGTCCGGCTATACCCTAGCCTTTCATACTGTGCATGACGTGGAGGGTATACACATGACCTCTCAGCAGTAGCACATTGGTGGCCAAAAAGTTGGTCCGGCCACGGCCTGACCAACCGGACTGGTTCCACCGGGCCTGATTAGTACGAAAGCAGCCTCACTCAACACTGCCGATTTATCTGCTTACAACAATACACGTGACTTTTAGAGCAAGATAAAACATAGAGGTGTTTGTATATACATTCCACGTACACTGGCTGCTCCGGCCACTGCCATGGCGGCATTGAGCATCTTCAGGAAATCGTCGGCAAACTTCTTGGCCGCCGCCGCCAGCATGTCGTTGCTGCCGCGCGACGACACGACCAGGTTGGCGGCGGACGCGTTGAGCCCTGCGCCGGCCTCGCTGAGCGCTAGCTGCAGCTGCTGGTAGGACTCGGCCAGGTGAGGGTACTGCACAGTGAAACAACAACGACAGCAAACTTTTTTTTCTTTTTTCTACGAAATCCACATTTCTCCTAGCCGTAGTATAAATTCATTCGTATTCTATTCCGTTATTCCATTCCGTGCACACACACACACACACACACACACACACACACACACACACACACACACACATGCGCGCGCACACACACACACACGCACGCACACACATAATATGCATGCGCTCGTTTGGGTGCACACACACACACAAACAGACAGCAGGGAGGAGAAGCAAACAAACCTGTCCAGCAAGCAGTTTCTGACTACCACTCGCAATACTCTTGATGGCGGCGTCGACATCACGCAGGCCTGGCAAGCAACCAATCATGGCTCCCAGCGCTTGAGACACTGCCTTCGCCGCCTACGATGAAAGGATACAAAGAGACACCAAATACACCGGGTTGCTTCATGATAACATTCACTGGGAGCAAAAGTTCAAACTGCATAGGTTAAAGGTCAAAGGTTGAACTTTGTACTTTGAAGGGCAAAACCAGATACAGGCATTTATAAGCAGCAAGTACAAATCCGTTTGTTACTGTTCTTCATCAACACTTGAAAGCAATGTAGACAGCAGAATAACACAACCATACGAGGCAGAAGCAAACACATACCGGTAGCAAACATCAACATACCCGAGCCAAGTTGTTGCGGTTTTCCGGTGAGGTGGGGTCGGCCAGAGACTGCTTGGCCTGGAGTACCAGACTCAGAGAGTTCTCCATGACGGTGCGCGCCGACTTGAGAACGGCCTCCTGCGCCTCGGGCTGCTTGTTGAAGCCGGCAGCGACGCCACGGCTGGCGTTGTTCAGCACCTTAAGGGCATTGGCGACATCGCGTGCTGCAATGCCGGTGTAGTTCTCATTACCCTGGTGACAGCAACAGTAACACATACACAGACAGCAATAGAGTCAATGATACTGTTCATGGCCTTAGGGGTTGTCGCGGAAGTCTTTTTGTCATCCCTGAAACGAACATCATTTGTTTGCGGGGGTGGGGGTGTGAGCCAAAATCGCAAGTCAACCGGCACTGTACACTGTGCATGTACATGCATGCGATTTCCGTCGTCCAGCATAGCAAGCTGCGTTCATTTCAGAGGGAGGGGAGGGGGTCTGAGCATGAAACGAACACGACAAAACACCTTTGCGACGACCCGTTATGCAAAGGCTATTGTCTCCACGCCGGTTATTTGTTGACAACAGCAGACATTAATCATTGCACTGCACAGTGTGAAGTTTCCCGGAGAGGGCGCTGCAAATCACAACACTACAGTGCATGTGCAGTTTGCAAAATCTGAACACTGCGCATGCACGGCAAAATAGAAACAGATTTCAAAACAGCCACAACAATCATGTGAAGTGTAGTTGTGGCAAGAGAATTCCAATACGGTACACATACCTGTGACGCTGCAGTGAGGAGCTGTGCCATGGACGAACCCACGGTCTTGCTGGTGGCACCCAGCTCTAGAGCGGCCGTCTCCAGGGTCTCGCCTGGCAGCGACATGAGCTCTTCCTCCTTTGCCACCCGCATGCACGTGTCCACGTCCTTGATCAGCTCGCGGATCGTGTCCTGAGAAGAAGTGGAGGAAAGAAGGAACAGTAGAACACAGTTCTACAAAACTGCCTAAACACACACTTGTGTGCGTACACACACACCGGACACATGCTGGACACAAACACACACACACACACACACACACACACACACACGCACGCAGACACGCACACACGCAGACACACACACACGCAGAATGCACATGGCTTACCGCAGCACTGTCCAGCTCCAGGGAGCCGCATGCCTCCAGTGCCTTGTTGGCTGCTGAGCGTAGGTCAGCCAGCGCCTGAGCTGTTGTCTTGGCAAAGTTGCCCAGCTGCAATGCAGCAGCTTGATCACCGACTGTTGGCACGGCTGCCTTCGATGCAGCAATGAGCTAAAACAATAAGCACAGACAAGTATTGGAGTGAGGCTATATTCAGGCGCGTAGCACCGCCATTGGAGGTGATCCGGCTGGAGGGGGTTGGGGGGGGGGGGGGGTCTCCCTCCAGGAATATTTTGAAATTAGGGTGCAAATTCCTGCATTCTGGGCATGTTAAGGCGAAAAAGTGGTCCGGCTTTGGCCGGACCTGCTGCTATTCCCATGATATTACTGGAACCAAAGTGGGTCCAGATTGCAGTGCAATATGGTTGCATACATGCATTCTAGAGACAAGTGGATATCCGTTGATAATGGTAATGGTTGTACAACTGCAAGATGACATGGGTACATCAAACAAACACTGAGGAGTGGAAATAAAACGTTCACATGCAGAGTTGCATGCAGGAAGACACAAGCACGCATGCACACACACACACACACACACACATGCACACACAAACACACACCTGCACATACCACGACCTAGGTGCGGCACATACCTTGCTGGCCGGCTGGATCAGCTGCTGGCTGGCATTGATAAGCTGGAGCTGTGCCGATGCACTATCAGGATGTGTCGTGCTCTGGCGGATAGCCTGCACTAGCGTACCGACGGCGTCAGCAACATGCTTGCCATGGGCGGCCAGCTGCTGCTGTGAGGATGGGTTCCTGTTGGATGCCGATGCTCCCTGCGCCGCGGCAATCAGCTGTGTGGAAGAAGCGGAAGCCTGCTTGGCAGCAAACTCCAAACGCTTGATGACCTACATGTATACCACAACACACACACAACACACACACACACACACACACACACACACACACACACACACACACACACACACACACACACACACACACACACACACACACACACACAACAACACACACACACACAGTGGAAGATGAGCTTGTACAGTCGACTCCGGATATAACGAAAAGTTGAAAACCAGTGTACAAGAGAACTACTGTAGTTCTGTATACATGTGTATTACAAACACCGCTACATGCGAGTAGTTTGTTAGAAGTAGACTTGACTCGATGCATTCCCAGTACATGTACGTGCAAGTGACACATGATATGTGAATACTTCACCAGCGCTAATCCGAAGAAGTGATGACAATGTTCAGCAGTAGATGAGAATTTTGTCGGAACACCGTTTGAATCATACACCACACGTCCCACCTCACTTACTCTCTTGCGCAGGCCGTCCCCGGCAGCGGCGTTCATGGCGTTTCGCAGATCGTCCGTCGCCTTCTTCAGCCCCGCCTGGGCGTCCTCGTCCGCCGGATTGCTGGCGGCGGTTTTCGCCGCAGCCACCATGCGAGCAGTGGCGTCGGCCAAGGCCTTGGCGCCCTGGAGCAGGCGATCAATGGCCGCCTTGTCGGTGAGACCTGACGCCTCATCACGCAGACTCTGCACCATCTGAGAAGACGCTGTAGCCAGAGAACGAGCCTAGTGCAGACAAGGAGCAGAACATAGTTGTTGCCTCATTTAAAAGAGCCCGAATTGATCCATTTGGAGAGCACGGTGTGCCCGTATCTGCATTTTCCTTTTTTTTGCAACTTGCGCCGACATTCCTCCTTAGTTACACACACTCACACAAATACACCAGCGCAAGTACGCACACAAGCACACAGATACAACATCCACACAACACACTTCAAGAACACACGGGGGGGGGGGGGGGGGGGAGGACATTCCAGCAAACTAGAGTGATCATAAAACAGGTGCACTCTAAATAGCAGTAGAGAGAAGAGCAGTGCAGACAACAAACAAGAGCAATGCATACCTGAGGATGGCGATCAACAGGAACTACTGAATCGACATCTCATAACAGCTTTATTGTACACACAGAAAAACGTTACGAAATGTCGATTCAATTGATCCTGTTGATCTCTATCCTCAAATTGTTGACGCCTCGCTTATTTCAATGCATACCTGTTTGGCCATCTCGGCAGGATTTCCCTGGGCATTGTGGAGGCGATCAATGGCAGCCAGCACGGCATCGCATGCCTCGTCGTGTCGGCCTCTGACGGCAACGGCGGGCCCTTCGCGCACCTTGTTCAGCAGTGCATTGACAGCCTGGGTCACGTCCGTTCCGGCCGTGCCCACCGGCTCCAGTAGCTTGTCGTTGTCGGTGGCCTGGGAGCAATTGCCCACCACCTTCTCGACGGCGTCGGCAACCTGCTTGGCGGCGGCAATAAGCTGATCCTGAGCCAGCGGGCTGTGAACCACACTGGCGAGAGCCTGGTACACACGCACACGCACACGCGCACGCGCGCACACACACACACACACACACACACATAGTCGCATTATATACATACAAGCACCCGGACATACACATATACACACATGCATTCATTCCATTCACCCCTCTATGTAAAACATACTCAAGTGGAAACGGGAAACGGACTTCAGCAACATGACGTGCAGGCACTTTCACATCACAAGTAGGCCAACGGGTACTAGCACCCGTTGGCCGCCACAACAACATTTTCGCTAATTTCACTTTCATGCATTGTCAAGCAACAGTCATGTTCGTTGGGTACCAGATCGGGGAGTCGTAAAATCATGTACACATCAGGGGCGCCGGAACCGGTGCAGCAGGTCCGGCCAAAACCGCACCAATTATTTCATCTTGTGACTTTTGAAGCAATGAAAAAGGGGCTATTTGGGCCCAATTTCCCTAAATTTTTCCGGGGGGGGGGGGCGACCCCCACCTACTCATGCGGCTGCACCAATGTCGAATACCTGCCGACGCCTCTGCACATGCATCCTGGTCTACATTAATGCATGGTTGCAGCACTGAAGGTTAGGTTGAACCCATTTACCTTTGACAGGTTCGTCTCATCACAGTGTTGCATGCTGTTGCCTTTGTGTGCTCCGTGTGCGGCTGGTTGGGTTCTTTTCCTTAGCGTTGAGTTCTTTTCCTTAGCTTTGGGTTTTAGTGGCATTTTCTATTCATTGATCATGATCGCGTTTTGCGGCTGGTTGGGTTCATTTTCTTAGCTTTGAGTTCTTTTCATTGTTTTGGGTTTTAGTTGAATTTTCTATTCATTGGTCATGATGGTGTTTTTGCCCGTAGAAGAGGCTTGACATAAGGACAGTTGCAGGACGTGGTACTGCTCTTTCACTACCTACCCTACACGGAAGTACCCAACATTCGACATATGTACCTCTGAGTGCGATCACCGGCAAACTACTAGTACCACACAGAGGAGAGCTCGTACAGCTCAATGAAATCCGATCGGATTGCTCAAGTACGCGCCGGGCGTTGTGCAGACCTAGACCTGCTAGCACTGGGCTGCGAAATGGTGCAAGGCGGCGACAACTTAACTCACGCGACTGGATTTCACCGAGCAGCGCTGTAGTGGACAAGTGTGCATCATGACTGTTATATTAAATCGGTTGTGGCAACAAACGCGATTAGGCCGGCTGCAGGGACACCCTAACTAATGTCACATCCGCCCCAGCACCATTCAAACATTTCGCATTGGCAGTTCAAAGCCCTGTGTAATGCGTACAGAGAAGTCCTGTGCGGCGCTTGCAAAGGAAAATAAAATAAACTTCAGAATCCTTACTGGGCAGAAGGAAGCCCGTACGGCTTCATCAAAGCCGTTTCAAGGATCAGATTTCACTCGCGCCGGGCGCATAGCTGGCAGAGCAAGCAAACGCCGTACTCACACCAATACCGTAAGGGTCACATGGATGGCCATAGCCAACAAAAGCAGGAACAAATCCATCCACGGCCCCTTTTCTCTTGCTGGCTGTGCTGCTGTGTGCATTCAACTGTTCTGGAATTTCTTTGTGAAATTTGAAATTTCGGAAGCTCAGCAGTCGCAGAAGATTCTTAGCCTATTCCTGTCACCATGAGCTCCATGCCATCACCTTCCGATCTCCGCCAACTCAACACCGACGGAGTCGAAACTCAACTGAGAGAACTCAGGCTTTCGTGCTCAGGAGATTTTAGATCCCAGGTTAGCCGTTTTCATGAGCATTTGTCAGCCCAGGCAAGAAACGAGGCGTCTACCAATACGAGCCAGGTCGCAAAAAAGACCACGCGTCAGCGTGCTAGTCCTGCGTTAGCCTCGGCCACTCACAGCCCCGCGGCCACGGCCCAGCCTGGCTCGTCACCCGCATTCACGTCGGAGCAATCTGCAGAAATCTCCCGGGTCATGCAAGATGCAGTAGCGTCCTGCATGACGCCATTTACAACATCGATGGGTCTGCAAGCCGCACCTGCTCGGTCTGTAGCAACTCCACCGCCAACATTAGCAGCAGCAGCAGCACAGAGGGTTGGTCCAGTCTCCATCGATATATGGTGCAGCCTGAGCCGGACTACATCCAGCCTTCAGCAACAAGGCCAGACCAAGAGAGCCTCTTCCTCGAAGGCAATCTGCTCGCCCGGAGCGTCCACCAGCAATCCCCCCCCCCCCCCCCCCTTCAGCAACTAGCGCCGTGATCAAACCCCGAAAGGTCCTGAAGAAGAAGAAGAAGAAGACTGCTGCTGTTCCATCTCTGCTTCGCTGATCGCATCGAGCTATAAGATCACGAAGATCGTTTGACCGGTACTCATTTTCTCTTGCAGTTAAGTGAACAACCTTTACTTTCTACCCGTCTCACCATGAAAGCTATGGATATCGGTATGTGAATGCTGCTGAGCAAGCATGAGGAGAGTAATTGTGTGCTCCGATCGCTGCTACATTGTGTGGCTTTGAAAGGCCTGTGCCCTGTCCAAGACCTCCAGACGGTGGCGAAAGATGAGCGTCTGCAGGTGATCTGGAGACTGGCTCGCAGCATTGCCACGGATCGGAGGGTAGACTTGCTCATCGCAACGCAATTGCTGCTTTCGGAACGAGTGTTGGCAGATGAAGGTGCACTCCTACCCCACTACGTGATCGCATCGAGCTATAAGATAACGAAGATCGTTTGACCGGTACTCATTTGCTCTTGCAGTTAAGTGAACAACCTTTACTTTCTACCCGTCTCACCATGAAAGCTATGGATATCGGTATGTGGATGCTGCTGAGCAAGCATGAGGAGAGTAATTGTGTGCTCCGATCGCTGCTACATTGTGTGGCTTTGAAAGGCCTGTGCCCTGTCCAAGACCTCCAGACGGTGGCGAAAGATGAGCGTCTGCAGGTGATCTGGAGACTGGCTCGCAGCATTGCCACGGATCGGAGGGTAGACTTGCTCATCGCAACGCAATTGCTGCTTTCGGAACGAGTGTTGGCAGATGAAGGTGCACTCCTACCCCACTACGTGATCGCATCGAGCTATAAGATAACGAAGATCGTTTGACCGGTACTCATTTGCTCTTGCAGTTAAGTGAACAACCTTTACTTTCTACCCGTCTCACCATGAAAGCTATGGATATCGGTATGTGGATGCTGCTGAGCAAGCATGAGGAGAGTAATTGTGTGCTCCGATCGCTGCTACATTGTGTGGCTTTGAAAGGCCTGTGCCCTGTCCAAGACCTCCAGACGGTGGCGAAAGATGAGCGTCTGCAGGTGATCTGGAGACTGGCTCGCAGCATTGCCACGGATCGGAGGGTAGACTTACTCATCGCAACACAATTGCTGCTGTCGGAACGAGTGTTGGCAGATGAAGGTGCACTCCTACCCCACTACACGAGTACGTTGACTTCGGTAGGGTTCTGGGAGAGCTAGCATTTGACACAAGCATGGGTTCGGACGGAGGGTTCACAGTGCAGGGGACGGGGGAACACATCACCCTTGTGCCATCCGCCATGTCCTCGTCAACCTGGCTGAAGAAAAGTCGTAGACTTGACATTGTGGCTGGAGGTTTTCTCAGCCTTTGCCCAAATAGCCCGCCACCATGACCAGGGCAGAGGTCTGGAACTGTCTAAGTACCAGAGCACAATTGTCAAAGCGGCCGCACGCTACACATTCAGTGCATGGTCCGGCTTTGACATGTCATTCCGCGCGAGAGCGGCACGCAGCAAATCCAGCCTTGCCACCCCAGACCCGGAACTCTGGTCGGAGTGGTTCACAAATTCCATCTCGCCTCCTTGCCGTCACTGCAACCGGCAAGGCCAGTTAGCAGTCTGCTGTAAGCGACCTCCGTGTTTAGCGACCACCTGCTATTAACGACCGTTTTTCCATGCACGGACAGTTCTACACAGACACTGTGGGACCTGGTTCTAACGACCACCTGGCTTTAACGACCGCCTTTGCTTGCACCGTGGGGTGGTCGCTTAAAGCAGGTTTTACTGTACACCGAAAATTTTGAAATTACAGTAACAATGGCCTACCTTGGTGCATGCGACCAGCTGCGATGTGGACATGGCGGACTGCTTGGTCGCCTCGATGACGTTAGACTGCAGCTGCTTGTCGTCGCATTCCGTCGCCACCTGCTTGGAGCGCTGCACCAGCTGGCGGGTGGCAGCAGCCACGTTCTGGGCAAGTGCCATCAAGTCGTCCTGCACCGAGCAGCCAGTCAAACAAGCACAACACACAGAGTCAAGGGCCTGTACTAGTCGAGATGAGGTTGTACGAAGAGCGTACAGGAGCTTCTGTGTTGTGATGAAGTACGAACTGAAGTTCCAAGGCATGGTCCACAGGTAACGAAAGGATGCGTGTTGAGCGCTTGGTCACAAACTCGTCGTATACACTCATGACCTAATCAGTAATCCCAAACACAATGGTTATGTCATCGCAGATTACAGCCCTACGCCAGTCAATCCCAAGCTGCACACTGAGTCTAGGAAGAGGAGAGGGAGGGGGGGGGGGGGGGGGGGGTATTATGACCTGTGCACAACAACAGCAGCAACAGCACCAGTAGCAGCAGCAGCACCAGCAGTATCCACATCGACGTACCTGATACTGCTTGTCCACCTGCTCTTCACCGATCAAGGCCAGCAGATTGCCACCAGCAGCACCGGTCTCTCCCAGTGCAGCGAGCAGAGCTTGACGATTCTACAAGACAACACATCATACCTCCAAGACATCAGCTCAGAGAAGCACCAACACTATCCAAGACATCCTGTGGCTCACCAGCAATACACAAATAGCCAGGGTTGGCTATAAAAACCCTGCAATCGCCATGCAAAGTGGTCATTGGCTACCCCAGCCATGTATTGCTTGGAATAAAATAAATAAATAAATCCCTATATTCTTATCCGGTCGCCACCAGCATATCAACACATTAGAGACAGGTACTGCACACACCTTTCCATGGTCACAAGCAGACACTACATGGCTGGGCTGGGCATCAACATCTGGTTCGTTTTTCAAATCAACCAGATTTTGATGACCAGCACAAGGTCATCAGGCCACTTTACACAGCCACTGGTGCCGATAAATATTCCAGACTCGTGAGATAACAGTGAGCAAGATTTGAGCGTGATAACTCACCGCTTGGTTCTCGGGCAAAGCGGACTGCAGTAGTCCCTGAGCGGCATCGGCCAGATTGCGAGCCGCCTCCAGGATCTTGTTGGAGTCGTTCGTGTCCGACAGCAGACCAGCAAGCATGGGCAGGCCTTTGGCCAGCTCGGACATGTTCGATGAGCTGCAGCGACGATACAGAGCCAAAGCGGAAGACTTAGACGAACAGATACAGAGATAAACAATGCACCTCCAGTAGCCTTATCTTCAGATCCCGACCTGGGGATTTCTGCCGCCCTTTGCTGGTACTGTGTAGGTTGTGCAAATGAGTGTAATCCGAGCAGTGTGCAAGTGTCCAGGTCGGAAAGAGGGCAAGTGTCCAGGTCGGAGAAGAGGGCAAATATCCAGATCAGGGGAAGAGGGCCAATGCCCAGGTCGGGGGAAGAGGGCAAATACCCAGGTCGGGGGAAGAGGGAAATGCCCAGGTTGGGGGAAGAGGGAAAATGCCCAGGCCAGATAATACACAGAGATGTAGTCAAAGTAGAGGGCAAATGCCCAGTTTTAAGAACTATATGATTGTATTCAGGTAGCATAATTGCTAGAAGCAACTAGTAAGGCACACCTCAACAGAGTGATAGAATAGAGCGCTTACATAGTGGTCACAGCAGAGCCGACGGCGGTGTAGTTTGTTTCGGCCGGGTCGCCTGCGCAGCAAACAACACAGAAGACGCACAGTCACACTGATCAAGAAGAGAATGTATACAACAGTTATAAATATACGGCGGTGATGTGCAAGTAGAGTGGGTCAGTCGAGAGGCGAGAGCTCACTGTGCAGTCGTGGAGTGACTGATTGTCCCACCGACTGACACAAATCATATGCATGGCAGTGACCAGCACCAACCCAACCAATACTAGTCTGCTGGTCGGGTTGCACTATCACTGGCTGGCGTCAAGCTTGGCCACAAGGTGCTGGAATACCTTGCCAAGTCAGACAGCCACCATTCAATCTGGACAGAAATCGTGGAGATAGCAGCCAATAGGCCGTCGTCGAAGTCTGACGTCACAGCTTCTTGACAACGTGTAGCAACGAGCAAAGTGGTGACAAACAAAAGTCGCGTCACCCACGCTTGTCGTGTTTCCACTGGTCACAGCATCACTTTGACTGGAGAGCGCACAACATTTTAGTTCGCAAGAAGAATGTTGTGCTCTTCGTCTTCAAGACGCTTCTCTCTCGCTGTTCACTCCGGAGGAAATATGCGGAGGTCAAATTAGAGCTTGCTCGTAAACGGTTCACTTTCGCAGACATCAGTAGCCGGGACGATCTTATTCAGCACTACACTGGTCTCCCGGATCTGAGTGAATTCAAGAAGTTGCTGAACATGATATGCCGTATGAAAATTGTGTACCACAGTGGCTGGACGGTGAAGGCTTTGGCAGTAGAGGATCAGCTGCTATTAACCCTTATGAAACTGAGATGCAACTTCTCAAATATTGATCTTGGTGTGAGGTTTGCTGTGTCTGATACAGTGACAAACATCACTCGTACGTGGATAGCGTCGCTGCACCGCGTCCTGGATCATCTCTTGCTAGAGATGCTGGATCGCCTGATCATGCCCGGTCTACACGACTGCCAGAAGAGCAACGAGAAGCTCAGGTTCGGCAGCGGATTGCTGGCTCGAACATGGCCAGTGAGAGTCATCATGGATTTAAACTTGGCCAAGCTCATGGTTACACCGAACCTGAGTTTGTGTTGCCGCTCACAGCGGCTGCCGTGGAGACTCTACCTGCTGACCTCCAGCAGCACAACGTCCTGGTAGCGCAGGTGAAGTCGTTCGCCGGGGAGTGAGTGAAGACGTTGGAGAAAGACACAACACACAGGCACAAGTTTTTTTTCTCCCTGTTGTTCACACTTGGTGCTGATAGCGCAGCAGGGCACTATTTCTGGCGCGCTGTCCTTCGTATCATTGGACTACGGGTAGAAGGTGTCGAATTTCCAGCTCCTGCCGGCCAGCGTGCAATGTCCTCCGTCACAATTCAAAAGCTCGGCGAGAGCATAAAGAAATACGCAGCCACCATCACGCTGACTAGACTCGCGGCTAGTAAGCAGAAGTTGAAAGACATCCGAAGCAACACCTCCATTGCAAGAAGCAAACCCGCTGCTGAGGTTTACGCCGGCACACTACATCGACACAAACAATGACCGGACCATGAACAAAAGGTCAGTGGTTCGACACAAAAGCTCGGCGAGAGCATAAAGAAATACGCAGCCACCATCACGCTGACTAGACTCGCGGCTAGTAAGCAGAAGTTGAAAGACATCCGAAGCAACACCTCCATTGCAAGAAGCAAACCCGCTGCTGAAGTTTACGCCGGCACACTACATCGACACAAACGATGACCGGACCATGAACAAAAGGCCAGTGGTTCGACACCAACGTCGACTGAAGACTAAGTCTAAGGAGGCCACCAGCCAGCAGTTGCCGAGTACACAGACTTCAGTGTTGTCTCGCTGCAGTAAGTATTCGCCATGCGGTGCACTGAACAGTGACTTGTGAAAATTCCCTTTTCCATCTTTGCTGTAATGGACTCGGATGGAGAGCCAATAATTAATTTATACAAAAGAGAAAGGATCAAGGAACTACAAATTACGCTATACTGTCCACTAACACCACCAGTTACTAAACAATCAGCTCATGCGATAACATTGCACTCCTTATGTTATATGTTATTTCTACAACTTAGAACCTTCCAAGTTGGAAGGCTGTTGGAGTGCGCACCTAAGATGTGCTAGAGCTGTTAGCCAGTTAGTTGTGGAACGCCAGTACCGTCGGTCAGTGTCATGCAATGTTATCGCATGAGCTGATTGTTTAGTAACTGGTGGTGCTAGTGGACAGTATAGCGTAACTTGTAGTTCCTTGGTCCTTCATCTTTGTTGTGTTTGAAGATGCCTTCTTCTTTTTGCTTGTTTGTTGGTGTCCGTGCGCGCACGCGAGTGGACTCACTCCAAAACAGTATAAGGGAGCACAACATTGACCGATTTTGACAATCGATGGCTCAAAATCTTCAGTAGACGCAAACTAAGCTATAGTTTAAACCGAAGCGATTGTTTTCTAAATCAAGGGACCGCTGTAGACAATCGATGGACTTTGGGACAGCATCTTCAGTTTCCCGGGGCCAAAATCAAAAATCCCTTCGGTTAATCCCCTTGTTGACATCTCACCTGGTTACACCCAAAATTTTAAGTGTCGTACTGTCTACTCGTGCTACCAAGATTCATAACCCCAGAGTGTGCAACGCGCGATAGGGTCTTGTCACGACTCGTTTTCAACATTACGTCATTTTCATGCAGGCCGCGACATTCGTGACACCGCAACAACGATGCGAATCACCACATTACATCATAAAGATGAGGGAATGTTGAAAACAAGTCGTGACAGAGATTTGTGTGGCGTTGCACACTCTGGGGGTAATGGACTCTTGGCGGTACCTTGGGGGAGGTTTTGAAGAGGCAGGTGTCGCACTGAAAATGCGCCGCGAGATGGCTAGAGTTCGTGTACATGTTTTGGTCGGGCTGTAGTCATGGTAGTCGCGTGACACAAAATGGCGCCCACGCGTTTGCACACAACCGTGAGCACTGAAGTTGAATTTCAGCACCTCACCGAGATTCTGCCCGGGTGTAGCACAGCATTCTCTGCCTGGCTGGCGAAGAAATGTGCGTTCCCCACCTGACAGATGAAGAACAGTGCACTCTCTAAAAGTCTCTTCTCTCTTGCCTACTACCCTGACTAGACCCACGAAGATATCAAGCAGAGGTTAAACAAGACAATGTAGATGCACATCTACGCCTGATCATGTGCGCTGCACTCACCGCTGGTCAGAGTGACGACCTGTGCTGCCGCGGCTGTGATGGCGGTCACCTGCGAGGACACGTTCTGCCGCTGCAGGTCTATCTGGTTCTGCTTCCAGCCGACAGAGCCCTGGAGGCGCAGACAACAAGGAACGTGACGCACATCGAACGGGTTTGTCTAATACATGTACATGTACACTACAAGATATTCGTTACTGCAAACCCTATCGTATCATTCCACCCTTAGCCGGTAAGCACGAGACACCTCTACCACATTTCTGCTCAATGAAATCCCATCGCGCGAGTCAAGTTTTCACCCTGTGCCAGTTCACATCGCAGTGTTTGCAGGTCTAGGGCTTCACAGCGCCCAGCGTGTACTTGACTGATGCGATCGGATTCCATTGAGCAGCCCTGTAATCACTTGACCGCAGTGGAGAAACTAGAACAACACCGTGTGTATACGCATCTCGCAACTACCGGTATGCATGGTTCCAAACCTATTCAAGAATGAGAACTCTGGCAAGCTCTACATCATCCAGAGGTGGTAGCGATACATGCCATAAACATTTCAGGCAGAGATCAGATCACAGAACGTACGGGGTCATTTCCAATCGGAGGAAGGTCCATCGGGTTCTGCAGGTCTGGGATGATGTTGCGAATGACGCCGAGCGTGTTGTTGATGTTGCCCGTCAACGCCTGCTGAGCAGCCGAAGTGCTGGTGTTGGAGCCCATCTGACCCTGCAGTGCACACACAGTGCGATGAACACTACAGTCAACATGACCATAATATGATGAATGAATTTCATTACTCAAGTACACACACACACACACACGCGCACACACACACACACACACACACACACACACACACACACGCACACACGCACATACACATGCACGCACGCACACGCACGTTCTTGCAGGTGTTCGGTATAATTTCCTGAAGCAGCCACTCTATCCCTGCAGGCTAGCAGGCTGCATTACAGCACGTTTTTCACATTTCACGTAGGACCCAGTCAGACCGAGCTTTCCGCATCCGTAGAAACGCCACCACCCTCAAGGATCCAGTGCACGCAACACACTTCATACAAGTCAGTCAGCCACACACGCACACACACACACACACGAGCTTTTTGCAAAACTACCAGTAACGACAGTGTAGTGGGGTGCAGTCAACACATCTCCGACTGATGCTTACGTCGGGCGGCATGTTGCCACGCGTCATGGTCTCGCGCACTCGTCCCTCGCCCTCGTTGGACGGGAACACGCCCAGCTGCATGCTGTTGAGCGGCATCTGAGCGTTGCGCATCACGCCCGGCATGGCCACGTTGCCCTCGCTTCCTCGGCCGGCGTCACCCTGCTGGTACTGCATGGAGTATGCTCTGCATGCGACACATACACACACACACACGGACACACATGGACACACACACACACACACACACACACACACACACACACACACACACACACACACACACACATGAAAAGTTAAGTCACGGTGTTGCTGGTACCACACTAAAGCTAGGCATACATCCAACCGGAATAGAATCGTGCACTAAATAAATGTGCCACAAGCTATTCCACACCGCATCCTTTACAAGAGTAGCCACATTAGCATTCAATGAAGAATTCTCATACCTTCCAGGGGCTACTTCATCTTCATGCATGGTTGCTTCATTGTCCATCTCCATCAGGGGTCTTTCCGGTTGCTTTTGCTGTAAACATGAAAAGACAACAATATAGCACACATTACGACAGGACAGGTACAAAGAAGAAGAGAATCGATCTGCGACAATCACCACCTCTCCAGTTGTCAGAGCTACAGGCAACATATTACGTGTATTGTAATAATAATATCCGGTCATCAGGTATTCGAGAACGTCAGTTATCCCACAGGCTAGGCTTGAGGCCAGTTTGAACGGAGCAAGCGGCTTTGTTGGTGCGTATAGTTGTACAAATCTGGAGCGCTCTACACACGAAGTAGAGCATGCTTATCATACCGAACAAACAGAACAGGGGAAGAGTGTGTGTGTGTGTGGGGGGGGGGGGGGGGGCAGCACGGTTATCCATCAGCAGTTGCTCACAACACTCATGACATACCCGTGACAGAATGATATCGATGTAGCCTGCAATCAGCTGGGAGATGGTCTCTCCTTCCGTTGTCTGAACTGAGTAGTACGACTCGGAATAATCACCGAAATCCTGTAAGCAGAACACGCACGGGACAGCAAAGGCCGGGCATCCGTTATCGCAAAGTTACACCACTTTGTGAATGTGTATCGGCACAGGGTTACTTAGAGGCTTTGCCTGCATAAAACAAGTATGCATGCAAAGTCAAGCACACACACACACTATATGTGATGCTGTAGCCGTTCTCCCGACAAGCACACATACACACACACTACATTGCTGCTGTAATGGAGCATCAGATCACAGCAGTACAGCGCAGCACACCATCAGTAGCACAAACACAGATAACACGGTGTATCTTCACCATGTATCTACGCAGTGCACTGCTTACCAGAGTGAAGCTGTTGGGAGACGCGGCCCATCGCCTTACAGTCGTCAACGGCCAAGTCTTCATAACCTACGACAGCCATGATGAACAACACAGCATCAACGTCACAATGATACCGTTTCAAACTGCACTACCCAGAAAGGGACCCGGATGTACACAATCTGCGTTTGAAATGTGATACGCACCACATACCGTGAAACCTGTGACTAACAACCACCCCTTGGGACCAGAGAAAGCGGTCTTTGGTGGCAGGTGGTCCTTAGTTAGAGGTTTGCACCGCACAACCATAAAATATGAATGTGAGACCGTCCGTGCCTGGCGAAGTGGTCTGTTGTACCAGGCTGGTCGATAGTCTTTTACTGTGTGTCCACTCAACATATGTTCAAGTCCGGTGGGCAAGGAATGTGTGCTTCTGTAGCAAGCTGTGATCGTCTAGTGGTTAGGACCCTACGTTGTGGCCGTAGTAACCCAGGTTCGAATCCTGGTCACAGCACACTTTTTTCTTCTTTTTGTTGTTGCTGCAAATATTAGCACACTTCCCAAAGCCAACTATTACTTCAATGCGAAGCAAATCCCAGGGAAACTGTCATGCAAGCCACGCATCTCACCTCCTTTGTTTTCTCGTCCACGCGCATCACACTCTCCTTGGTCACACCGAGCAGTCGCGGCACCAGCTTGTTCTTTCCCTTCATCTTCTCCTGTACATGCGCAAGTGTATGTACATATGTACACAATCCCACATACATATACAGACATACCCACATGCATGCAGGCACGCACAAACACACAAAAACGCAAACAAACATCAATATTGCAAAGCAAACAACATGAAACAGCTTGCACAGCCCGTCAGAGACAAGACAACACGAGAGAAACAACGTCACATGTAACACGATGAATACAAACCCACATCGACACAAATCCACATCGACACAACCCCACGTCAACAAAACAAGCAAAGGCAAACTCTTACCTTGACCAAGAAGAAGCTAACACCGTACGTCTTCAGCGATCGGCTGAGCTGAATGTAGCGGAACTTGGCGTTCAGCTCCGTCAAGCCGGTCAGCTTGGCATACTCGGTCAAGATACGCTTCTCAACACCTTTCTTCTGGTATTCCTTCGGCAAGAACTCCTTCACACTGTGAACACAGCAACAACAAACATACAGAGAAATTATAATTGGATCACATGTACAGTTGTACATGTAGGATACGTGTACTGGCACCAGGACTTGAAAAAAGGTAATGTAAAGTTCCCACATCCACGTTATCACTGGCTATACAAATGCGATGAGAAACACAACCAGCTTTGCACATGTACCGGCACTTTCTCTTGAAGCAGAAGACTCTAGACCGCTATGTTCATATCGTAGTGTGCATCCAATGAGAGTCGCGGATGGGTGCAAGCGAGTTTGTCTGAGCACGACGTCACTTACTCTACGTATGCCTTGGTCTTGCTGCTGTCATAGTTGGAGTACTGCACTTGAGCTTGCAGAGCAGCAAACTGCACACAACGACACACAACAGCAAACATTAGCAACATCCTCTTCATGGATAGCAATTTAAATTTAAAATACAGTTATGGGGTATTGACAACCGGAAGCCCAATAGTACAGCCGAATGGGAAATCCAACATAGGAATCAGCAGTGGTAGCCTAATGTTGTACAGAGCACAGTGGAAGTGCCTTATACCGAAAGAAACATCTCTCTTTCGGAAAATGAGCAGTACAAGTAGATAGGAACAGTCCATGCCGGTCATCGCGAGCACCGATACCGGGCTAGTAGTGGCCGGTTGTACTTACCTGATAGGCTTCATCCTGTGAGACCGGATGGCTGCCTTGCAGGATGCCATCGCGGGCCTGCACGTAGAGCAGGTTGAGCTGCACGGGATCGTTGCGGTCCACGTTCTGATCGGAGAAGAAGTACTTCTTGCGCAGCGTCAGCACCGACGTCTCGTCAATGCCCTGCTCGCGAAGAGACTTGTCCTGGTTCAGCCAGTGCAGCTCGTCGTCCGTGTGCCACTGCTTGCGGATCTGCTCCATCTTCTTGGCGTCGCGCACTTTCAGCTCCTTTTCCTTGTCCTAGTGTTGACAGCAAGAGCAGCAGCAGCAGTAGTAAAAATGACAATCTTGCAAGGTCAACACAGCCAATACAGTAGACTCCATGCGTGTACACTGTACATGTACATGTCCATGCACCGCTGACAAGGAACACTCAGTATACGCTAGGCACGCTACAAAGTGCTGGTCAAGATGAGTTCAGAGCAGGGTGTTTCAGACCTCTTGTTTCAGTAAGATCGATAACGTGATGGTCGTGCTCACTCCCGCTATAAGTCCCGGGTGACCACTCAAGGGCCAGAAGGGGGGGGGGGGGGTAAATACTAAAATTCTATGGAGGCAATGCACTGGACATTGCCCACAATCCACAACAAGCACTCTTACCAAGAGTAGATAAACAGGAGTGTGCAACTCGCGGATGGGTTGGCCCACGGCGGAATTTTTTGTTGACGTAATCTTTTCGACGACGCACGCGCTGCGAGTCTTTCGGAAAGTTTTCCCTCGTGCTCTTGGCCGGGCTTTACACGTATACACTACAATTAAAGGACCTAGGTCGGTGTCCAGCACGTGCTCTCACACTGCTCTGCGGCAAACTGCGCGTTTCTCTGAAAAAAGGTGACGTCAACAAAAAATTCCGCCGTGGGCGGGGGTATCTGCAGATTGTGCAGGAGAGATCCGGAGTTGCACACTCTTGTTTATCTACTCTTGCTCTTACCGATGGCTTCTTCTTGTCCTCATCGCCATCGTCCTCTTCGTGAATCAGAGAATACTCCTCGTAATTGGACACACCTGCACGACATGACAGCAAAATAGAGAATGAAAAGCCATTCACATTAATTAAAGATATCACGCCACCAAATATAACTTTAAGCACATGCACATGTACTAGAATCCATGCAATCAAATGTACGGTTCCAAGACGGCGCTGTAAAATCCAAACCGACTGAACTGAACGCAAGTTGTGTTCCTGCCGCACATTTCAAGTTTCCAGTGAAGAAAGAGCATGTTCGTATGCTGGGAATTTTAGAATGCACACAAAAAGTATGTGCCGTACTATTCAGTAGTTGCAGCAAAAGCGCAAACAAAAGCACAGCAATGGCTCTGGTGCACAAGAGCATAGACTTACCAATACGCTCGCAAATGGTTTTGACAAGATCTTCCACGATTTGACTGTCATCAACCTACACGCACGAAAACATGGACACAAAGAAACGGTGTGATGTCTGGGGTGACACTGGGCACAGAGCGAACGTCGACAACCATCACAAATCCAAGAAGCCCTAATACATACCCCCCCCCCCCCCCTTCCCTGCATTGCACACATTTGAAGCACCATGTTTCAGCTGACTCTCAAAATAATGTGTTGCATTCACTCAATGACTTTAGTGCGGCTGTGTGCACTGTGATTTGTTATGATCATGGCAAGGCTACAACGCAGCTACGCTATACTCACTTACTCAATAGGTCTCATGAAACGAAAAAGTTACGACTGTATAGTAATTGTCACATCGCACATACAGCACGCGGATCTGCCGTTGGAATTTCGAACGCAGCCTCCAAACGCACATGGGACCACGCTTACCATGACTGTCTTCAGCGCACCATCCATCATCTTCACACGTAGCGGTCGGATCTTCTTCCTGTACTCCACCAGGTCCTACACGAAACCAATGCAGCAAACAAGCATTACGGAGGGATCAGCAACGATGTGATGTCACGCCACGTGATCAATTAAAAAGGCAACATTGTCGACTCTTTATTGTACTCCACAAGAAATCACCCACATGAACATTATAATTACATGTACGAGTACCGGCATACGCAGTCAAGCACAACGCTCCTAGTTACAGAAAATACTATGAATACAAGTAACGCAAACGAAAGCGAGCCGCGTCGCTTTCGACCCTGATCTGACCTCCCTGGGATATGCGTTAAAAGCAGCATGGATCAAACGCTTGCGCAATCACTAGCCATTGCTCGCAAGCACTTGGTGTGAACCAGTTTGTAAAGTGCACACGACTTTGAGATACAGACACCAGCAAGCCCCGATGTCAAAGGACATTTCAAAATCCTGCATTCCACACGACCATCAGTGAGCTAGCCATCCAACCAACAGATCAACCCCAGTTGAGGCTGGTAACTTTGCCAGCACAAGTATAGCAGTGATACCAAGAGTACATAACCCCCAAGAGTGTGCAACTGTCTGCACCTCTATGCAGTGCTGCGACGGCAGAACTTCGCATCACGTGACATGATTCAAAAGGTTACACTGGCAAACAGTGCAAAGTGATCACAAGAGAGTAGTACCCAAAGCTGGGTTGCGTACAACCCTGCATCAATCATGCACAGGGTGCAAACAATGTGTACGGGTTCATCACGTGATGTGAAGTTCTGCCGTCGCAGACCCCATAGCTGGAGTTGCACACTCTTGGGGATTATGGACTCTTGATGATACCGTCTAGTGTAGTGTTTGGCTGCTTGCGTTGTGTAGAGCTGGGTGTTTTTATTTAATTTGTTTTAAAAATCTTTACTCGTGCGGGGGCAAATTGCACGATGCAGCATTGTCCTATGTGACCTCACCGGTGTTCCGGGATCAGAGCATAGGTCACACATCAGGACTCCCCCGCCCCCTCTATGATGGCTTAGAGCAGGTACAACATACTACAAATGTGCATCTGTATATCTCTGCAACTAAGCTTGCAATCTATATGGACAATCGGTGTCTCTGACATAAGTAGTTTGAAGAACATCATACACCATATGGAGCCTCACTGTCAGCATTGACACTGGATATCCATAATTATTGAATTGCAGATACTGTACATGATTTAAAAATGAGTGCATTAAGTGCTGCTGCATGCAGTCATTCCCTGGGCTAGTGGTCACACTGGGTGATGAGCATGACCACTCCAGTGTCACAGCTGGTCCAGTAAGACCGTACGGATGGGCACACGCATTTCCCTAAACTGAAAGGTACTTCCCAGATCTGGCTTGGCCCACTGGCAAACAGTGCAATGGGGCACATGGCAGAGTCCAACCAAAACTGGATAAGCAGAGGCCCGCCCGCCATTCACAGTGTGACTGCACTTCCAAAGTTGTATCTTGACCAAACAAGGGGATGGATACGAGCTATTGCATAGGAGTGCATGTGCAGGCACTGCCCTAGAGAAAGGCCAGTACTAGTAGTAGGCAAAGCAGTGTATTTTAGTGTATTTAGCTGATCCATGGAGTATACACAGTGATGTGCATGACAATGGATACCGGACAACACCACCAGAAAGTACACTACTACAAGCAGTAGACAGCAATCCACATAATGCCCCTCCTTCTCAAACAATGCATAATGATACAAATTACCAACAACACTTCAAAGAGAAACACTCCCATTTATCGCCACTCCATCTTCATTATCCCACGTGCAGCACAGCTACAGGGAAAGTCCTATGATTAGTTGTCCATTCTGGCGAGAGTACAGAGGTGCAGCTTGTACTCCAGCCATACCCATACAGCCAAGCCTCTCAGCACATGTCCAGCCATTCAACACCCACAGCCACCCTCACAAGCAAGGAACTCTACCCACACCCGTATGCACAGCATGTACCAGGAGAGACATTACAGTGAAAGAGAAATGACCTCGGGACGTTCCCAGAGCAGCAAGAAGTAAGGAGCATGGTGTCATCCAGTCAGGCACGGACACATGCTCATGGAACTACATCACCTGTCTCGGACAGAGGATCAGGGCATACGCCATAAGAGGTTCTCGGAAAGCATGCATCCACTGCTGTGCTCCAGAAATGAACAGTTGTTTGTGCCCCGGTAACTAGGCGAAGTACAGGGCCACTCTCCTTTGCCAGGCTAGATCATTGCAGCTTTTCATTGATAGCAAAGCATCAAGGCATGCACCAAACTTAGTTACTGCGTAATTGTAGTTGATGTCAGCTCTTGTGGACTGCATACATTCCTATTTCAGGCATACCCAACACCACTATGCACGTGAGGAGACAGCACCAGAACAGTAGACCACTTGAACTAACTTGAAGGCTGCTGCCCAGTATGCTGGCCAACCTGATCCCATTTGCATAACACTCAGCAGCTCTAACTAACAATAAGCCAAAGCTAGCATCCCTCCTACTTGCAAGTGACATGACATGCACTTGCAAGTAGGAGGGATGCTAGCTTTGGCTTATTGTTAGTTGTACTGATGTAGATTCCAGCATCTCACTGACTACAAACAATTGACCTCAGGTACAGCACAGTAGTACACTGTATACTGAATGTACAATGTATACCTTGATTTCATGTGGCTGGTGATTGTGGATAACCAAATTACACTAAAGTAGCTCCTGATCATCTAATTATTCAATTCCAGAAAACACGAAGAGAAAATTCATGGAGAGAACTTTCCTACGAAAGTCTCCGAATCAACGACGTTACGTATAAACCCCATGGCCAGATGCTTGCATATCGTTTTCATAATGTTCTCTCCATAGAGCAAAACTCCCTAATGCATGTTTTATCTTCCAGAGATTGCTTTTTGTCAGGAAACTACTAGTATCCTGCAACCCAGCTAGTGACAGTATGAATAACTAAGTCTTAGTTTCGTGGAAGTATTACTACAATTATTTATTTGCAATGGCTCAGCCAGCCATAATTTGGCATAAAGCAGCCACATGACATGCCAATCATTCAACTAATGTCACTTTGACAGGCCAATAGGACCATCATGAATGGATGAGAAATGAGACAGGTGCACTCTTACAATGGCTTCTTTACTTTGTTTCACCTCATACTGTGGCTGCAAATCAATGATCCTTGCAACGTGTGTGTTAAAATAATGTAATTCACATGGATGACTGGAAGTGAAATGTGAACTGCAGAGCAGTACATGTACAGAACAAACACACACTTTGAAACTCTGTGTTTCTTTCAGTGATAGTTTGTGTCCTTCTGCTTGGCTGGTGCCCTGTACAGTCTAGGCACTCTGACTCCTAGTCCGGGGACCAAGCCGCAAATCAACCACAACAGGCCCGCACCAAGCGCCAACACGCGCAATAAGACATCTGCTGCGTCGACCTGCGCTAAGCTGTGGTCAGTTGTGCGCCCGTTGGGTTACATTTTTACAATCCGTATTGACAATTTCCCAACACAAAAATAGTGACATCGTTGCTAGGCGTCAGCCTAGGATGATTCACTGTTTCAATAAAACAGTGCATAGCCGCCCACTCCAACGCCCCAATGGTCCCTTGCAAGCGGCACACAATCCCTCTCTCGTCCCATATTTCCTAGATCGCCTGGACAGAATGAACTATTCGACACCGACAACAGCCTGGGTTAGAACTACGAGTTTTGAGCGACACGACGCGGATAGCTTTTACACAAATTAGATTCTCCTAAGCTACGCGTCATTCATAGGGTCGCGAGCCAGCGAGGCAGGCAATCTAACAATCCAGCAATGAAGTGGCTTGAGACGGGGTCATGAACGACGTCCGTGCGAGTCGACCTGGACAAGCTACGGGTGTGTGTCGGTACAACCGGCCGCACAGCCTGGGCTGGCATAGGCAATTCTCGCGACGACCTAGCCCACGAACTTCCCGAATTCGCAAACTAGCAGACCGGGCCTGCTCGGCTAGCCATCCACGAACGTACATGACAGGGACATATCTAAACTGAGAACAGATGAACAAGTCCAGGTGAATAGCTCGCAAAACGTCACATACATGTACGAAAAATACGAACGACAGAACACATTGATTTCGTGTTACAGTGTAGTAGAGTATTATTTTTTCCTAACGTCGAAACACGATGAACACAAGTCCTCCAAGCCACCAATGCCACACATGCCACCGATGCGAATTCCTAAGTTATTTCCAATTCAAGAAAAAGGAATGATTCGTTCCCCGCAACGCCAACAACAGGTGGAATGCACAAACAAATAACAGACACACACACACGCATCGCGCAAACACTCGACTACGACCCATACATGCCAACAGGCGGAGCAGGGAAGCTACATTCGTGCAGTAACAGTGGTGTATCATAGACGCTGCAACACGCAGGGTCTCACAAACAGAGAGGAACTCACTCCAGTCTTGAGTAGATAATACTCCAGTGTTCTGCCGGGCTCCAGCCATACCCCCTTTTTGGGATCCTCGTCTGGCAGAAACATGCCAAAGTCTTTGGCTGCAGATGCGGAAAAACATCACACATCATCAAGATTAGTAGTGAGCACAACTGTAAGCCAAACGACATCACGGTCACTCCAAAAACTGACCTGATGATGAAGACGGGTCCGGCAGACGATCTCGAATCAGCTTGCACGCGTCGTAGACCATCATGTTCGCATCGAACTGCAAGGCAAGGACAGAGGTACACACACACGCCATGGACGACAGCACCATCCACGCAAGCACGAGGACCTAGTCAACGCTGCCGCGATATGGTGTGTTGGAAAAAAAACTGCACCAATGCTCCATTTTCTACACAACATCTTACAGAACTAGTCGGTTACAGTAATAGAGAGGTCAAGAGCAAGGCAAACAGCAGCAATAGCGGCAGCAAAAGCAAAGTTACTAGCTAGGAAATGTTCCTCCATACCTGCATGGTCTTGACGGCCCCCGTGCTCGGGATGTTGACCTTCAGCGACAGATTCGGCATTTTGGCAAATCTCCTCTCTCAGCACACTCTACTTGAAAAATAAAACAGAGACGCGTGCCCCTGCCAAGAATACTAGTACACAGGCACACAGGCTGCCGCCCCTGGCCTAGCTAGAGCACCTCTGCAACACTCCTCCTGACGTCCACGATTTTCAAACACGACAACGCTGAAACTAAAGCAAAGCCAAAGGCTAGTAGTAGTAAAGCAGCAGCTCGTGCGAAGTAAACCTTCGATCGCACCTCAACTCTCGGGCCAGCACTATGCACTGGGCAGCAGTGAGTTGCAGGCATACACCACAGACTGTGGCACAGTCACTGGTGCACTGCACTCATAATGATCATATTCATAAGAACTCAAAAAAGGGGAAAAAATACTCCACTCCACTGCTGCATATGCGCATGCTGCGCTGCATACGCGTCGTTATGTGGTCTGTAGATATCTACGATGATCACACGCACACCGATTTTTTTATGTAGCGACTAGCGATGTGGTCCAAAACGATCAGCCGAAAAAATGTGGTGTCTCGTTTGCAGCAACCGCCATATTTATGCAATGCTCGCTGATCTCGTCGTCACGTCAGACAGATCGTCAGGCGCCACGGACGGCACGGAGCCGGAGCTGGAGGAGGGCTGCAGCAGGGAGCCCTAGCCCTACACATATTTTACTGACATAGTGACATACCGGTATGTGTAGGGCTCCCTGGGCTGCATCAATCTCCGGCGTTGCACATCGCTGCTGCTACTGAGTCAGTGTCACAGTCTGTGACAACAGATTCGCAGCCACCTGACTGACTGACTGACACAGTGACAGTCTGTACACAAGTCAGATCAGTGGGATAGATCTACGCAGCTACGGTCGTGGAGAAAAAAATCCGACCCAGTGCCAAAAAGCAGCGCCAATTACAAGGCTCATGCGGCCCCTACAATGATTATGTTATGTAGGCCCTTGCGGCCCTTGCCTTGGATAAGCTTTTGTACCGTGCATGATAGAAACGGAAATGCGGTGCTACTTTCGACCTGGGGGTCGGATTTCTTTGGCCAAGATTCAGTCGACTGCAGATCTACATGACAGTCGGTAGCCAGGATCATGAGTCTGAGTCTGTCTCTAATGCTAAGTAATATTAATACTATCACACGCAACTACACTGTCTACAGTCGCTAGTCATGTACATAATTCATCCCTCATCGAGTCGGGGAAGTCGCCTGATCTGATGATCAGTGTGCATTGCATTTTGTGCAAGACAGTCAGTCTGAATTGCGACGAACTCTGTAAGAAAACCTCCTCAAGTTGTGCCTTTTTGTATGTCATGTACGATTATGATTCAAGTATTATAAAAGTAGCTATGATAATGGTAACTAAGTTACTTGGTAAGGAATTAGTTAATAAACCTCACTACAGGTAGTACAATAGCATAGGTTTGATATTGGAAGAAATGGTGTAACAATCGACAGGCAACGATTATTATTTTTATACAGTCATGATGACAGTCGACAGTCACACACACACGTGGGTGCACTCCACATGATGCACAGACAACAGCAGCAGGTCAAGACAGACATGATCAGTCTAGCTAAGCGGTGAGCACTGAGCACTGTAAAATCCGCGTGGGTGGGTCAGTGGCCAAGGCAGCGGGATAAGGACATCTCAAAACTGAACAGTCACTGACTGAGTCAGGTATCGCTGCAAATGCCATGTCGGTATTTTCGTAATAATCGTTACATGCACTGTAGTACTATTCGGAAGTAAAGCACGGTTAGTTATAATAGGAACCAAGGATACTATTATAAAAGGAACTTGCCACGTGAACAATAATTGCAGAAATGCTCCACGCATGCATGATTCTGGAGTAGTGAGCCAGCGACTCATGCAAGCACTTTTTCACTTTTCTACGACGATTACCTGATTACCGTGCTCCCCACGCCACCTGCACCGCGGTACCGTCAGGCAGTGTGACTCGGACCGGAGACAGATCCTGGCAGACCTGTGACCTGGTGACAAGATAGCACTAGCAGTACGAGTACTTGTACTTGCACTATGTATGAAGGTAGATCTGTATTGTACTTTTGTAGGGCCGTGGCGTTGGATGAGCCCTTTACTTGCTCTACTGTCGCCTGTTGCAGCATCATTGATTTTACTCGTGATCTTGAGCGAGGCGTCGCATCGGCGTATTTATCGGTTATCCTGCAGGTCTGGCGATACTGCTCGCGATGCAAGGACTCCACATCATCACCATGTCCATGAACACCGCGGGCTTCTACGCACAAAACAGGTGTGTCTACGATGCCGAAGTTTCACTTTCAACACGGCCTCCGCAAGGTGGGACTTGTCCTATTTCAATAACGAACGGTGAAGATGAAGGAAGGAAGAATGGAATGCTATCGGTTACCAGTAAGTAGTAGTAGGCGCAGATGACCTCACTCAGAGTCTGTAGCGTACACTGTCATACCGAGGGTCTAGTTTAGTTGCCCGATCACTCAGCTTCTGAATACAGAATAGTCGACTGGATGGCCGGTCACCGAGGACAAGGAGATACAGCGTGGTGGCATCGCTGTGCCATCGTGTAAAACGGTCGGTACACACGCGTTGAAGTACTGGCCAGCGGTGAAAGTGGCTACTCCCTCGCCCAAACTGCCAAAGTCTGAGATCATCGGGTAAATTTAAAAAACAAAAACACGTCGTGACGGATATCAGCGACTGGTGACACCAACATTGGCCACGGTTTGAGAAGTCCCGGGTTCAACTACCATTATACCAATGGCAATGTGCTACCTTTCCATCGACTCAGCCGCGTCTTCTTCCTCCATCCTCCATCGGTCCTACCAAGAGGGGCTATGTACTCTTGGTCCTACCAACGCGCCGTCGTCCACTTCCTCGTGAGCTGTGTTATGTGTCATCTGTGCATGACTTTTCAGCTTGTTCAGGAGCGAGGAAGACGCCTGATTTGTTTACCGAAACTGTGCCATGGAAACGCAACGCCCTGGATCGTGTGTATGTGTGCATGTGCGTGATCCCCCGTACCAGGCCTACCGGTATATCGTGATCAAGGTCTGTGTATGACCTGACTGGGTGCAAAGGGTGAGGGAACTTGGGGCTCTTCTTGCCACTTCTTGTCGGAGCGGGAAGATGTCATCATCTTATCGTGGAAGGGGCGATGGCCGGCAGCAGAGGGACAAGGAAACGACGTTGAACCACCTCAGAACTTACTTGACAGAAGCAAAAGGAGCTTAGTCACAATAAGGGATGTAATCATGGATCATGTCATTCCACGAGCCAGCCAGTGACGATTTCATTTTCCCTGTCGAATATGACGGCGATCTTCACAGTTCACACACACTCCCACTAAAACACCATACCGCACACATGCACAGGCAGCGCACATGTACAGTAACAAGGTAGCGCAAAGGCGAACAGGAACTAACTAATTACTTACTAGTACCTCATGCAGGTTAGTAGGTAAAAGGCGTCGGCAGAGTGCATTCATGGACAACAAATGAACAATGAACAATGTAACCATAGACATAGTCCATAGCAGAAGTATGAGTCATTACCATGATGTACACTGATCTGTACAATCATGCATATCACACACAGTGTACCATTCGGAAGTTTCGCTCGCCTTCTTCCTGGGGTGTCGTTCCCAGGACGAAGAGCTGGAACCGTCAACGCCTGGCAACGCGACAGGGGGGCAGGGGACTCGGGGAGGAGGGGGAAGGGGACTCGGGGAGGAGGATGGCCGTGCCACTGGACACTGGATATGACTCGCCATAGAGTACACATAGTTAGCACTTTACCGTTCACGCTGACTCCGACCGTCGGTGTGTATCGTGTTTTGTGTGTGCTTTCAAGACATGGTTTCGGTTTCCGACACAGCGATCGACTTGTGACAGGACCCTAGTTGGAATCTTGCCGTTTCGTTCTCCCGCTAAACAGAGCTTTCTATCGTCGAAACGATACCAAACCGACGGTATTTTGGGTGTTGGGTACGAGCACCGTTGGATTTAGCGTGAACGATAAAAATGCTAACCATGTCTACACTACGTTATTACAGACATCATGGATATGCGCTGGGCACACGCGCTCCAGCTTAAAATGATTTACGTGTCGCAGGTCCGGCCAAACGAGATGCTGTACTTGACCGGAAATGAACACTTTAGATCCAAGAAAGCTGTGCCCCATTTCGCGCGAATAGGGTGGGTCGACTTCTTCGAAAACAAAGCCAGAGGTCCCACCATGGTCAGGCAGGCCGGACCGGGTCCTATGGCCCTGCCGCTTGCCCCTATCCACTTCGTTACCGCCTGTTGGCCCTTTGGATATATTCCAGCTACATGTCATTTGTGACTAATCATGGGGGGGGGGGGACTGTTTGACTGGTCACGGGGACTGTGATTGGTCATGGGGCCTTGACTGGTCACTGAGTCCTACATATGCATAGCTATAGAGTATCAGTGTCGCATAAACGGACCGTATTGGATTGCTGCCCTCCTGCGTCTTCTCTATCCTCCAACCAGTAACCTTATACGGTAATATTATCATTATCTCTCTTTGGCTTCTTCATCTTCATATCCATAAGCTGTCGACGGAGACTCCCTCCGATTTACTTAGGCCTGTAGAGAATGCATACATTGTACATGCAGTGAATACAGCCCCGATGTTACAACAAACGAAACTGCCAGATGCGCAGCAGTACGCGTGCTCATTTGTTCGCCCAGTTCGCCAATACGAAAGTAATACGTCTTCACAGCAGGGACAGCACCGCATCAGAGGAGTGGTTCCTACTGCCGCAGCTCAAAACAACTGCGCTGTCAGAGTGCTGCCAGCTGCAGGCAGTGTGAGCTATGAAGTCAAGGTGTTCCTTCCCTTCCCGGACTGCACAACCATACACGCACAAGCTGTAGGCAAGAGCAATAACAAGACTTGAATTGATTCTTCAAAATAGATCTAAAATTGAATTTCGGTAAAATAAAATCCTAATACAGAAATGGAACAAGTTTAAATCCCAAGTCCATTATGAATTCATAAGAAACAAAAAGACAGCGTGACGAAACCCTTTTTTTTTTTCGTCGCCGACACTCACAAAGCTCTGTTGTGGAAGTGAATAATATATACACCGGGGTGAAGTAGACAAGACAGGGTAACAGTGACGCAATCCCACAGTTGCGGTGCACTGGTTAAAGACAACGCCGGAGAGTAGCGGCACCGTGCGGCATGGGCTCGCCCCGCACACATAGACAGGATCACATACGGCGAGACACACGTCCGAGACACAAAGCACAGCTCGTGGTGGCCTTGCCATGCGCAGGTTAACAATGCAGGGACAGGCGGACAGACAAGCATCATGATTTTCAGATGAGCAGTCGAGAGCGGGCTTGAATAGGTGGAACGAGACGAGGATCGTAGCAGTAGTCTGTAGCAGTCGGTAGAGCAATGGTACGGGGAGAGTGCATAATACCAGACAGTGGTTGAGTAAGGTAACGGTTACTCCTTATCCATTCCATGAAGATTGGAGACACAAATGTTATTGATGACATGACCGGCGCTTGAGCAGCGCACAAGACAAATATAGACATTGGTCGCACGTGCAAGCCAGCGCTCAACTGGCGCACGGAAACCCGCGGATTTCTGTCAGCGTCCAACGTCAACGCCACCGATGGTGGGTTAGAAACAGACGGAGCGAGAACAGCTGGTGACCAATCGGCTTAGAAAGAGCAGGATGGATATGGATATTGCACACCGGCACGGGTCCAATCCCCAGCCAGCCAGCCAGTCGGTCGGTGTGCCAGCGCCAACGCGGATTTTAGAAAGCAGCAGTACGATCGTACAGGCATGAACACCGAATGCTCCGTGTCACTCACAGCGGATTTTAGAAAGCAGCAGTGCACATGCACGCAGTACAGGCATGGACACCGAATGCTCCGTGTTCTAGAAAGCAGCACACACAGTACAGGCATGAACACCGGATGCTCCGTGGCACTCACAGCGGCGGCGGTGACTACGTGCTGGTGGGCGACATAGGTGCCGGCATGGTGAGGTCCATGAAGCACTCGGCGACGGACTTGCGGCAGTACTTGAAGAAGAGCTCCTCGGCGGTCACCAGCAGCTCCTCCATGCTCATGTGCATGCTCAGGCTGCGCAGAGCACACATACACACACACACACACACACACACACACACACACACACACACATACACACACACACACACACACACACACACACCAGCATAGGCATAGGCATGATGCAGGCATCGATGTAAACAAGAGTATATAACCCCTCAAGAGTGTGCAACTCCCGCATACCCTGCTGTCCCTACAGAATTTAAAGTTGAAGTAATTCTCACGATGCTATGCTCCTTGCACCAGCGTCATTCGAACGGGGTGTCACGCATCACACGTGTTTCCTTGAACTAGTTTGCACAGGATAAAATGAGGCTATGACCACCACAGGCTCAGGCTACGTCTGATAATATGTGTACAGTGCGCATTGCATCATCAAAATGACGTCAACTTGGAATTCTGTCGGGACAGCACCCATAGTCGAGTTGCACACTCTTGGGGGATTATGTACTCCTGGTGCAAACCCATTGTGCCCACACATGTACATGTTACATGTACACACAACACAGAGGGTTGTGGTAACTGACGGGAAAGTGCTCAATGCGTTAAATTTCCGCCTGATCATTGTACCGTTTACGTAACTGTTCCGACTTACCCGTTGACGATCTGATAGAGGCCACTGGCCTCATCGCTGGCCATGATCTCCGAGCGATAGCGTTGCAAGATGGCCAGGCAGACAAACAACTCAAACGTGTACTCCTGGTTGACCACCACCTCGAGGCGGTCGGATGCTTCACCACCTGTGACGTGCACACACACACACACACCCACACACACACACACACACACACACACACACACACACACACACGTGCGCGTACGCATGCACTCTCATCACCATCACAATGTACGAGCACATACGGTATACATGCACAATTCAATTAAAAAAAGGGGAGCTCTTGCAAATCGCTAGCACACAAATAAAGATCCCAAACGCAAATAGCCGTTACGTGGTAATCAAACACATTCAGAACACGCTGCTCACCAGTTCTCTCCTTCTCCAGGAGTTCTTCTTTCCGCTTGGCCTTCTCCGCCTCGAGAGAGCTGATCTCCAAGTGATGACTGCAGAGTATCTCGAACAGCTTGAGCGATTCGTCAAACGCAAACTCTCGCTTGAAGGACAGCAGCAGCCATCTGTGCACAGCGGCACACACCGGAGCAGGCCAGCCACGTTATCACATTGTACACAGCTCAGTGCATGTAGAGCATGCACAACACACCAGTATCAGAAGGGAACAGATTCCATCGGGCACATAGGTACAGACTGCAGTGGATAAATACCCCCAGTGGCAGTCGATCCTTCCGCACTTTAAGTACCGGTCACTGTCTATGTTCTCAAAGAAACACACGCACTTTACCTGTGGCAAAACATGAAGTCGTCCATGCCCGTTGTCACAAAGAAGTCGCGGAACTCCGCGTCCATTTCGCCCAGGAGTTGCTTGACGGTTTCTGCGTGCACACCATTGAAGAAGAGATGCTCAAATCATGAGACAGCAGAGCAAAAATGCAAAATGCCAAAGAGACAGATCAGTGACACACTAGTCAAAACACCAGCTGGCCAGATTACAGTATTGTCGGTCGCCGAAGAACTGGAGGTCAGGCTCGTGGCCTAGACCGTTCATATTTTCATGTACTACAGTCGATGCACAGTTAAGTCACCCGGTATATGATTGGTATGCTGCTCTTGGTGAAATTCCAGCCTGTGCGGTCCGTTCTTCGGCGCCCAACAACACTGTAGTCCACCACATGACATTAACGTGTACTTGTTTTCCCTTACCCAGCTTGTCCACCATTCCCTGTTCCAGGAATTCGACATGGATGCGCTCCAAGTACTTTGCCAGGCACCAGTACGCCTCCTGTTCGTCGTCCATTGTCACCAGAAACCGGCTGAGAATATCGTTCATGCCCTGGGAATACCCGAGATCTGGCGTTAACAACAACAACAACAACAACAACAACAACAACAACAACAACAACAACAACAACAACAACAACAACAACAACAACAACAACAACAACAACAACAACAACAAATACAAACACACCTTGACTTTGACTGTAACAGACAAACGTTGCTATAACAAGGCGAAAGCAGGGGTGATTTGCACTACCAAAACGACATATTATGCACTACCAAAATACACGTTCCAAACAAAATAAATCACCCAAGCGTGTGTGCACGAATAACGGGGCGCATGACTGCACATACATGTACGTAGTGTTCTTCTTACCAGGGTGGAACGCCGCAAAGGTGATAAGAACGTCACGGAGCACGCGAAGGTTCGGATTCCCGGCTCCTCTGCACAGATAACACCGGCCACACCGATGGAAAAAAGTCAACAGATGGAAAGGTAACACCAAATAAGGAAACAGTGACAGGCTAAACTTCAGCATGCACAAGAACTAGCGTGCAGTCGAGAAGACAATCATGATAGCCACTACACTGTATAGTTGCACAGCCGTCATCTCAATGTGCCTCCGAATAACTGAACCACTGACCTTGGGAAGTACAATGTAATCTGTGTTGTAAGCTGACCACTCAAGGGACCTTCAAATTGTGGTCATTATGTACAGGGTGGTCTCCTAATCCGGGGACATTTGACTGGAAATGCCACCCCATGGTCCTAGTTGTGGTGGTCTTCTGGGACAGGTGGTCGCCTTGTCAGAGTAGTCACATTGGCAGGTCTTACTGTATTTTACCATGCCTGTTGTACTGCACCACTTACTAGATCCTCTTGTACATGAGTGTGTATATGCATGCAATCATCCAAACAAGTGACTTTCGGACAAGGCCTAGTTCCATAGTGCTTGAACTCAGAGCAGCCAGTCCACAACTGTTTCGTGAGAGATGCAGCAGCAGATAGCAGTTCAGTCTATGCAGGAGAAGCTGGAGTCATGCACGCACTCGGGTGCATGGCCGGATGCACTGCAAACATCATCCACACACACACACACGCACACACACACACACACACACACACACACACACACACACACACACACACACACACACGCACACACGCACACACACACACACGCACACACGCGCGCACACACACACACACACACACACAACACTCACTTGAAGTAGGGGTGGTCACGGTCGTTGCGAGGGACATCCTTGTCGATGACACGAATAGCTTTCTTCATCACCTTGATATCAATAGACTGCCGGCCGGCATACACCTACATAAAAAGAATGAAATTGATATACTAAGTGAGAGATATTTCAGCAGCCAACAGACGAAGTATGGTGTTAGTGTGGTGCGTTGATTGTCCCCACTGAAATGACTGGTCTTCAACGTCAGGTGGCTTCTAAAGACAGGTGGTAGTCTCTAAAGGCAGGTGGCTTCTAAAGGCAGGTGGACTCTAAAGGCAGGTGGACTCTAAAGGCAGGTGGTCACTAAAGGCAGGTGGTCTCTAAATATAGGTGTTACTGTGGTGTACACAGCCCTGACCTGTGCCTGGAGCTTCAAGAAGACATCCGGATCACCTACGGTGACAGCCGCCGCCGGTTGGGCTACCTCTGCACCGCGTGGCGCCGTACCGCCATCGGTCTCGTCCGTCACCAGGTACGACGGCGAGCAGAGCTTGGTGCGCTCGTCATCGGCGCAGGACAGCTCAAGCACCGACTTCCACCGCTGCTTCAGCGCGTCGTAGCGCAGCCGCAGCTCAGCGGCCACCACCTCGCGCTCCCTACGTGCAACAGCACACGCAGGCACATAATGGAGCACAGCAATAAAGAGGTTACTAGCACACAGGTACATCATGCAGCACAATGATAAACTGTAAAAGCAGAGATTTTCGGTGGTGTTTTATTTTCGGTAACTTCGGTGCCGGAATTTTTACCGAAAATAAAACGTACCGAAAATGTCAGTATAGTACTCGTACGCTTACCTGAAAAACGGGTTTACCGAAATTGTCCCTCCATCAAACCGCCGATTTTGGAGAATACTAGTGGTGAAACGAATATCAAAACCCAGTAGCCGAATATTCTTTGGCTTAACGAACGAACGAATATTATTTCGTTAACATGGATGACATCACACGCCCTCCTCTCAGTCATTTTATTGGATATTGTCACTATTATTAGGCATTACAAACGAAGGCACATATTTCTCCACCATTTCTAGGTCAATTTTCACAAAATCCCCAGCTGAAGTGCATTTTACACGCTCAAAAAACAGCTCAAGACGTGATTTTTCGTTCGACCGCCATAACTCCATTCCAGGACCTCGGGTCGCGTCCGGGTTGCTTCGAGACGACAGCTGAGAGTTTTCTAATGCCGATGGAACTTTCGATGAAGCGGTTCGGTCAAGTATTCGCGAAGTCACGGAAGTTTGAAGTCGCTCGGTAAACTCTGCATACCCGGTTAGCGAATATTCGCCATGAGAAATATTCGTTCGAATGTGACAAACCGAACGAACATTCGAATATTCGGTATATTCGTTTCACCACTAGAGAATACCGAAAATATTACACCACCGAAAACGTCTGCTTTTACAGTAGGGGCTACTAGCACACACAAGCACATCATGCAGCAGCAAGATGTAGGGGGACCGTGGAGTTGCATACTATGCGCTTAGCTCTGTAGTGCTCTTGATAATTGCATACATTGTTGCATTAAAATTCAGGCATATTTAATTTCGGGCATGGATTCGCTAGAATGAAGTTGAAGACACCACTGCAGCTGTACTTATGGTTGATAAATATGGTGGTAAAGACACACCTGGCAATATGGCGGTAAACGCACGCCTGCCCACACACGCTCTCTAAGCTGCAAAGTTCTGATTCGCTAGTCCGAAAAAGCCGAAAATAAACGCGCTGTAAATATTCCTCAACTCCCAGTATGTACTAGGGTGATCCCTCTATAACCCGCCACCATTTTGTGCCAGGGAAATTCTGCTGGATTAGGGAGGGTGCTGGATTAACAAATCGGATCTACTGCTGCAATGTGCATGAAAAGGACATTTTGGCTATTAAAAATTGTGCTGGTTTATAAAGTGCTGGATTAAAGAGGGACGGACGACTGTACTTGTACTATAATATGACATTGTAGTGAAGTAACTAGTGTGCTTACAAGACTCTTCTGGTGTACCTTTTTGTACAAGTAAGCGTAAACCAGCAAGAACTGAGACCACGACTGTATTCTTTTGCTGGGTATCTTCCTTTTACCCCCCACCCCGTTCAGTGCAGAGTTTTCTAGCTTGAACCCCAGTGCACATGTACATACCTTTCGGTTGAGTTGAACGGATAAATGCCGAATAAGTAGCGCCAGACATCGCGACGAATCGTCGGGTCAATGCCACCTACCACAAACACACACACAAACACACACACACACACGCACGCACACACACACACACACACACACACACACACACACACACACACACACACACACACACAGAGAAACCAAGATACAAAAAGAACATTACCTCAAGCATGCCGGCACCTGGACCAGTGTTTTCCGCGCCTCATGTTTCTCAAGTCCTCAGAACTGCAGCAAGCAGTCCTACTCCAGATATCCGAACCGCAGTTATCTGATTATCTCGATTTTCCAAACACAATTCCTGCATATCGCACATCTTACTGTGCATTTCATGTTTGTCCACATGCACCTGTGGATGTTAGTTTTGCAATGCTTTGTTTGCACATGCCTGTGTCAACTCATCAAAATCATTGAATTAGAGAAGAAAAAAAACATTCGAGCGCTATAATAATTTCATGCGGATATAAATGGTGGTTTGGATTATCAGAACGATACGAATAATCAGTACAGCACACGGCTTCAAAACAGCTCGCCTTGTGTTTGCATAGCCGGGGTAGGATTGAGCTGACGCACGCTAAAATACTTCGAAGTATCACCAAGGGTATATCAACGAGTAACCAGAGTGCGCAACTGACTCAGGGCAGTGCTAGTGCACAACGCTGTTGCTGTCACGACTCGCTTTCAGAATGACATCATTCTCCATACTGTACAGCATGGAGAATGACATCATTCTCCATGTTGTACAGTGTTGCTCAATGAAATCCAGTCGCGTCACTCAAGTACGCGCCGGGCGATGCGCAGCCTTGGACTTGCGAACACTGACACCGGGCTGCAAAATGATGCAAGGCCCACACTTGACTCACATGACTGGATTTCATTGAGCAACACCGTATTTCGTGAGGAACTAACTTCTGTTCATACTGTTTGCCATCCATATCCAGGCTGTCCCTGCGGGAATTTGCGGAAAAAACTCCCGAAAACTTGCGCAAGAAATTGCGGCAGAAAGTAACAAAAAATGCGACGAAATGTGCGGAATGATGCAGAACTTGCCAGGAATTCACGGAATTATTTGCAGAAAATTGCGGATTTGAGCCAAATCACGAAATTTGATGCATCGTATATCTACTGTGCAAATAACCTACAGGATCATGGAAAGAACTGCGTGAAAAGTGCATAACAATGTGAGATGTAGTGCAACAAAAAAACAACAAAAAACGTGGGAAATCGCGGATTTTGCTGAAAATCGCGGGTTTGGGCCAAAATCGCGAAATTTGTTGCATCCGTGGAATCGCGATTTCCTGGAGGGACAGTCCAGGGGCGGGGGAGCGAATCTGAGGTCTCAGCAAATAACAAACACCGATGTGCCCACATACCACCAAGAGTAAATAAGTTCCCAGCAGTGTACAATGTACAACTCTGCATGCGGGGTCACCGACGGCGAAAACTCACATCACATGTTCCAAGTACGATTTGTACTACGTAGGTTTACAACGAAGACTAGCGTGCGCGTAGTCCGAATATCTGCCATGGTCATGCTGATACTCGCACAAGCTGAGTGGGTTTCTGTCAGCGAGTGCTATTTTTACTACTCCTGTGGTCACTAAAAAGTAAAAATGGACTGAGAACGACGACAAGGGGGGACACTGCGGATGGGATGTGAATTTTCAAGGTCGCCGGACCCCACAGAAAGGGCATCCACAGATGAACACTCTTGGGGGCGTATGTACACAACCCGAGGCAAAAACAACCAATCCCAGTCCAACCCGTGCCCCCCCCCCCCCCCCCGTCCCACCCAAAATACCATCAGCTGCCAAACCGACAATTTATCGGCTCGGTGAATGCTGGCCACTCCCCCCCCCCCCCCACACACACACATCAAATTGACGACATACTGCAATTCGTGTGGTGGGGATTGCAAGCAGGAGCGCAGCTTGGTTCTCCTCCAAAAGCATATGAGCAACAGTGCACAGTATGGTAGCCAAAAGTACTTCAAGAACCACTGGCAGGTAAATGAATAGTGCCCAGGTAGTAAAGATATTAGCATAGAGAACTGAGCAATATTTTATTCAGGCCTGTAAGAAGAAAAGATAGGATGTACTCAAGCTGAAATACTGTACTGAGCCATAAAAGAAAGGGAAAAGAATAAATCAGCAAGGAACTCATTCTCAGGAAAGATTTCTAGGCATAATCACACGAACGTGCGCATACAAACACACAACTACAAATATACACACGCACATGCAAACACGGGTGTGGGCGCACGCACACACACACACACACCATCCCTGCCAACGAGAAAGCACCCAGCAAGTGAAAACTAAGAGAAGCATGGCGAGAGAACTGCTGATACGTGCAGTAAACCGGCTTGGCTCCCGGCAAGTGACATGCTGTTGTGAACGAATACCACCACTTGGTATCGACTCCTCTACTCAAGAGGGATAGTTCTGTTGCTGGTGGCTTGTCAGAAGCATTCACTGTGTGTACGGTGATCAATGGTGATCGAAGCACCCGTGCCGAAACATTCACTTCAAATGGTACGGCCGTGCTCTCGTATTCGTGTGCGGCGCGAGGAGCCACGCCTTGAAGGCGCAGCAGTGCACAGCCCGCCATCCTGGACGCGAGCCGACGCTTTTCTCGCCAGTACAGGCACCACCATCTCACCAGGCCCTTCCCGCATCACCGGGGAGAGCTGCCGGGGAGCAGTTGTCTTAGGACGGTGTGTCCGCCGTCAACAACGTGTGACAATTCCAACAGGGCCGGGCGGGCCTGCTGCTTAGCTGCCGGGCAAAAAACAACCCTATCAGAATCTCAAGTCAAGCCCGGCATCACGCAGCCCTGCATCGTGTCCAGCTGCCACTGCAGCAGGCAGAGCTGAGTCAGGATGGCGTCCTCCAGGTCCTGAGCGCTCACCTGGTCACCGTCGCTCGTCGCCGTCGTCTCGTTGCTGCTGCCCTCGTTGGCAGTGCGGCGCCGCCGCAGCATGGAGGCCAGGACACCGTCCATCGGGTCACGCTTCAGCCGGCCGGCCAGGCGCGCGCTGATGATGCCCGTGTCGCCAAAGTCCTCAAACACTTCCTCCAGGCCAGAGCTGATGAGCGACGCGAGGAACGGCAGCAGCGGCTGCAGCTTCACGCGAAAGTCCTCCTCCGTCTCGTAGCAATGACCGCCGCCGGCGGAAGGAGACCGGGTGCGAGAATGACGATCTTCGCGGCGAGTCGCCAGCTGATTAGATCTCTTCGTTTGCGGTGCCTCGCCGTCACTGTAGCTGTTAGAGCGTGTGCGCTTGCGTGAAGAACGGGTGCCGGACTCAAACTGGTGCTGCTGAGAAGAGCGTGTGCGCGAACTGCCGCTCCCGTGGCGAGAGCTAGATGGCGACCTCCTGTCACGGTACGCTACTTCCGGAGGGACGTAGGTATACGGGTTGTACTTGGCACGGCGGGCGGCCTCCTCGTTGCGCTTCTTCTCGCGCTCTCTCAGGCGCCGATCTAGGGAGCTTGAACGGCCTGTTCTGCGAGGAGACAGTGACCTGCTGTTGCGCGACACTCTCTGTTGTTCAACTGGGCCGGGTGACGAAGCATGCCTCTGAAGAGCTGGTGAACGTGACTCGGCAATGGCGATGGTGGTGGGGGGCACGGACTCCATTTCCGGCGGCAGTGGATGCGAGGCAGCGGCTGCAAACGGTCCAACATCGTCAGCAACAGTCCTGTGCGCATCGTCGGGAGCTCCGTGCACGGCGCCTAGCCAATGCGGCAGTCGCGCATCATCCAGTACATCCGGTGGCGGAGGCACCTGTGAGGCTGGCTCCTCGGCGGCCAGAAGCACGTCAGCCTCGGAGTCACTGCTGAAGTTGAAGTCGGACACAGCGTACGCCTTGGTGTACGCCGCAGCAGCGCCAACCATCAGCGGACTCTCGGACTGAGAGCGGCCAACTTCAGGCGTGCCTGGTGACGAACAGAACTCCAGAGGCGGCGTGAGCGATTCAAACGATCCAGGACTGACAGCCTCCGTTGAAACACCCACGTTGCCAGGCGGAGGATCCCCCAGCACACCGTGCATGGCTGTCGCCATACCAGCACGACTTGCAGCTGTCCGGTTCCAGGAGGCAGCCGCTTCACTCAGCCAGCTCAATGCATCTCCACCTGCTGTTGCTGCGTCAGCATTGACAGCGCAAGCAGTACTAGCAGGTTGTACATTGGCCAACGCTGTGCCGTAGTTAGCTTCCCGGCTAAAGCTAGCCGCGTGCGTAGTCTGTCCCAGCGCGATATCAGAGGTGCCGGGCGTCTGCTCAAAGTAATCCGAAGACCATTCCATCGGTGTGGCAGTGGCCAATGGCTCTTGCGAGTCGAGCGGAGATGCTGGGCGACTAGAGAGCGGTGATGCGCTGCTACTGCGAGACAGAGATAGTTGACTGCCAACACTGCCGGAGAGTGGTTGCGCTGACAACGATGCATGGCGCTTACGGGGCGGAGAGCAGGATCGGCTTCGAGATCGGACATAGTGCCTAGGCGAATTAACGGACGACTTGGTGGATGCAGAGGGCTTGGAATGATGGTGGCGATGTGCTATTGGTGAACGACTGGGACTGCGGTGACGAGATGTTCGCTTAGCGGACGAGCGACTACTGGCCCTACTCGACACAGCAGTGGAGGAAGAGCGCGACGGGTGCTTGGAGCGATGGTGGACTGTACTCGCTGCGCCAGTGCTGTGCTTGACATGTGATCGGCGTAGCGGCGGTGGCGGCGGCGGGGTGCTATACGGCTGTGTGCTGGCGCTGCGCCGCACAGAGTAGTCGTCCGGCGATACTCCGCGTTCAGAGCGGCGGTGGTGGTGGTGGCTGCCACCCCTACGCTCACCGGTGCTCGACGATGACGCGTGCCGTTCTGGCTTCTTGTGCCGACTCCGGTGCTGCTCCTTGTCCAGATGGCTACTGTCGGCGCGCGACTGGTTGTGACGCTTGCGCGGTGGCGGTGGAGAGGGGGAGCGGTGGCGAGCCCCGGACCGACGCGATGTGGCCGGAGATTTCTTGCTCGCTTCGTG